CAAGCGTAATCGCCGGTTTCGATATTGCTGACGGCATCCTCGACATTCAGTCATACGTTAGTCACCATCACTGCATATACGTCATATGTTGTTTATTCCTCCATAACCGTAGCACATCATAATTCCGACTGATACCCCGTGAGCAGTACATCAGGGTGAATGCCGTTTATCACCACCATGCTCCCTCGTAATAAAGTACAACAGGGTAGTCACGATCGAATTGTTCGGCCAACCAGATCATCGAGATTTAAAGATCATCGAAAACAGAATCATCGATGAAGACATGTCCGCTCAGATATTCGATCCGTGCCACGCATCATGATAAAGGGGATCGAAACCGAATTTCTTTACCTGTCGGAAGCAGATGAATATATTGCAAAGCAAACAGAGTTGTAGTTGGCAAAAGTCAGCGCACAGTTTGTCAGCTGATAATTCCAGTTCGTCGGCCGTTGAATACAGAGGGCAACCTTCTTCATTACTGGCATCATAGAACATGATCGATGCCAAAGTCATTGCTCATCAATCTGTTTATCGAGCGTGGCCCCGGTTACCGCTCAGTTCTGACGATTTTAATGCCAGCAATGGTCGTAGGTTAAAGTCTTCAGAATTAATGCTTATCTTCACCGTCGTTAGCGTAATCGTACAATGAGCTATTTGTGAAATCGATTTCAAGGAAGTCAATGGCCCATTTATCAATGATTTCGTTCAATAGCATTGCGGCGGAGGCCAGCGTTGAACAGAGCGATCATTAAATATGCCGTCCACGCCTCGGTGAATAGAGCAAGCGATGCTGGGTCGTTCCTCAGAGCGACCCCAACGAATACATATACATACATATTGAAGATATCGAAACAGTTCCGACGTTGTTGACGTTATCTTTATCATTTTTCTTCAAAATGTCCTCTCGATGTCATCATATAAGCGGCACTTTAAGAAGCCGACAAGATAAAACTGAAGCAATCGGCGATACGCATTCCGGTGTTAGGGCGACAATTGTCGCATCAAACGGGGCAGAAGTTAAAGATCAATAACATTTCGTCTCTTGGCGATATAATCGTATTTTTCGTTCGTCAATATATTGGCGAAAGCCTGCTCATGACCGACCGGCTTGAAAGGTACAGCTCAACATGAGTCAGTAGCGAGTCAGTCATACTCGATGCATGAACAGTCATCGAGCGCATTTTCGATAGCTGTTGGTGGCATCTATTTATATCATTCCGATAAAGTCGATTGCTCAACAGAGAAGAAGCAATGTACGATAGCGAACAGGGTTTCCGGAATCATTGTCGTCAATAGATCGAATATACCGATCGACAGTTGATGAAGCTGATAGAACAGGCCCGCAAGTGGAAGAGAACATGAAAGCGATATACAGCGTCGAATATCGGTGCTTTAGGATCAGATTGTCATTTGTGCTGCGCTCGCTCTGAATGACAGATCGGCATTGTTGGGGCAACAATATCCGGTAATACACTCAGGTAAGCACGTTAGCGACATATCCGTTGCGCTCGTCGTACGTAAAATTTAGTGGAAGATTTGATAGCGAAATAGATCGTTGAAGCTGGTCATGAAAATACATTTTAAGTCCTCCGTACATTGTTCTACATTTAGGTAGTTCGGGTTATTCCTAGTCCCCTAAATATACATTTCGCTTGAGAAACTTTATTCAGAAACCTGCTGTCACGAGAAACATAATCTGTTTAGATTTAGTCAATGGCTATAACTGTAAACAGCTATGATAGATGTTTGAATGACGAGGATCACTGATCGAGTTTGCTCTATAAATAAAGAGGTGATCTGTATCACTTGATATCTGTTATAAGCATATTTCAAAGTACATTTACCTTTAAAATGTATTTTCATGTGCTCAAAAATATGTCGTTGATCTATTTCACTGTCAAATCTGCACTAAGACGCACGGCAACACGTCAGGCTTTAATAATAACGGATAATGTCCTTCTTGAGAAACACATTGCTTGTACAATGGGTGTATTATAGTTATTATTGCCCCAAGCACAAAGTAGCATTCACAGTCATTCCAGAGCGAGTAGCTTCGTGGCAAATCCTGAGAGATCCTCAAAAGCCGATGATTGTCCACTTTAGTACCTCGCTTCATGTTTCTCTACACCGCAGATGATATATCAAAGCTTCTATCAATATCCGATCAGGGTATGGTTCCAACCGATATTGACGTAAACTACTGAGGGCTTAAAATGGTTCAAAATTCCTGTTCATATATTACATTCCGCCTCTTCTCTGTTGAGGCAATCAGGCTGTATCGGAATGTCCTCGTCGTGCCTTTTAATGCTTCATCATCAGAAAATATCAGAAAATGCTATGATACAATAGTTTCTTCATACATCGAAATGTAATTGAATTCTGTCTCTGTCCAAAATGTTGAAGTAATAAGAACATATTTTCAAACCAGTCAGTTATAGTAGGATCCATGTCTTTTAGGCTCACATAATATATTAATGACCTGAAGAATACCCGATTGTATCATAAGAGACAAATGTTGTGGATAACAACTTCTATATTTGTTTGTCACGACCATTCTGGGCTAGTTCTTGTCCCTTCTTTAGGTGTATCATATTGCTAGTTTTATCTGTCAATGCATTTAGGACGACTTTCTTTAAAGTACCATATATATGACAACATCAGAGGGACATTTTCTATGGCAGAAAAACATTCCCATTTTTTACGCTTTTTTGCAAGGTAAACATCCAACAACATTCAAATTCTTTCAATATCTAATATATATATATATATATATATGTGTGTTAAGGATTCCTTCTAGAACTATTGCCTCCTTGCTCCTATTCACCAGGCGTAAGGCTAACGCTTACTCTGTATGATCACTCTCTGTTCCAACCTTAACCTCCACCACAATGCTGAGCTATTGGGCAGGAAATCAGGTATTGTCGTTGTGGCTTCAAGCATGAAATCAGTTTTCACAAATAAGCTCATTAACACGGTCCCCTTAAGCAGCAATTTAGAGATAAGCATTAATTCTAAAGGCTTTAATACATTTGTGTACTTGGCATTAAGAAATCGATCTCCAGGACTGAAGGTGGTGACAATCTGGTAGAGTTACGCTCTGATAGGCAGGATTGATAGGTAGTAACACAACATCGATCATGTTATATGATTCTGTGTATGGAAGAGGTTGCCCTCTGTATTCAACAGCCCCGACAGGCTAGGTGTAAGCTGACAAACTGTACGCTGTTTCCAACGCCAACTATAACTCTGTTTGAAAGCTGCAATAGTTCATCTGCTTCCGGCAAAGGTTAAAGAAGTCAGTTTGTCCCACTTTATCATGATGCATTAGCACGGATCGGGATATCTGAACATTATACAGGACGCTGTGTATATCCCGTGTGCCATGTTTCACTTTCCGATAGTCTTTCATCCTCGATAATCTGGTGTAGTGGAGAGTGATCGTAACGTATACCCTGGTATACTATACAGGGTATAGTGGAGAGTGATCGTAACGTATACCCTGGTATACTATACAGGGTATAGTGGAGAGTGATCGTAACGTATACCCTGGTATGCTATACAGGGTATAGTGGAGAGTGATCGTAACGTATACCCTGGTATGCTATACAGGGTATAGTGGAGAGTGATCGTAACGTATGGCCTGGAGATTATCGAGGATGCCATTAACAATGTTATCAAACCAGCTGATTCACATACGACCCAAGTGCATGTGCAGAGGAAGTATACATTTTCAGAATGATTCAAAATTGTATTTTAGCTGTCGTGTTTGTGATCTGAACAAGTTATCAATGAAAGATCTGTGAAAATAGTGTTCCAGCGAAGAAATGAAAATACAGATATCTTAATTGCTTTTTCCCTTTCAAGGAATACGTACCCTTAACATTCATGGAAAACAGCAAATACCACAATCAAATAAATAATGATATAAAAACATGGTTTTATTTCTGGATTAAACAGCTCATACACTTTTGTTCGTATACACTTACATTAAATATGCCACTATAAGAGGAAAGGAAGTCTTCCCATATTATGCTTAACAATGACCCTTAAAGACACGGCTAATGCAGACCCGTGATCGATGCTCATGCTGTTGATCACTGGACTGTCTGGTCCAGACTCGATTATTTACAGACCGCCACCAGATAGCTGGAATATTGCTGAGTGCAGCGTAAAACAAAAACTCACTCACTTACACACACAGCTAAAGGAAATAGGTGGCCTCACTGGCCTTCCTAATATATTACTCTTACCAAAAGCTTTCAAACACCTAATGTCCTATTTTCATAAAGAAATTGTTAAATACTTCACCCCCGCATGCGTGATTTATCATTTTATGTACCTATATTCATGTATTTTGGGTAGATGGGGTGGTACTGACTAGTCTGGCCGCCTTTTGTAATTATATGATGTGCCACGTAAATATAGTTGGGGTTTTACGCCGCGTTTATCAATATTCCAGGACTATCACAGCAGACTAACAAGTAGAGAAACTAAAGATGAGTTAATATCAAGTGTTCAGAATATCGCAAATGTACATGTATAGCAGGACGTGTTCACGTGTTCCAAACTTGTGCTGAGACTGCTGTGGATCTATCTCCATTGAGTAATGGTGTTCTGTTACTGAATACATTTCGTATTGAATTTCGTCCCATCTTGTAGCCTGCCCTACAATTAGTTACACGCATGTCTGTAACCCATACATAGCATTCAGTCTCCAACTACCACAAATCGAACTATTTACACACGTCGATTCGCTGTGTAACACTGTGGCGGTTCCTGTGACGAGGGGGTATTAGATGGAGTTCCTTGACAGAAGCTAAGGAGCCGGGCCGCATTACCTCATGGATTAGGGAGACTTTTGATCCGGACAAATACTGAATGTCAAGCGAAGAATCGCTATATTATGTCCGCTCCATGGAATTGTTGGTCTCAGACGCGGCCTGTACAGAGCGGGATATGTACACACATACATCCGTATTTGACAAATCAATTCCCAATCTATGTCTCAGTCTGAAGATCAGTTTGAGGATCGTTCTAAACGTATAGACAAGTTCGTTTCCACGTCTGAAGAAGTGGCTGTTTTGTCACCCCGGGAACAGTTTGTAATGACAGCTTTGTAATGAATCATCTAGTGCATCAGTATGCTCAAACACGGACTGACCTTGCCATTTGTCAACCATGATGTGTCATGTGACAACTCTAGCCCCCGCTAATCAATCGGTTCGTGACAAGTCTATAATAGGACTTTCCAAATAACTCTTAGTCTATGAAACATGAGGACAAAGTTTATTTTTTAAAGTAATCAACGTGTTTATGGGAAAATTTACCGTTGGTATATATTTTTATCATAACGTGTTTCAGTCGTGTTTAACAAAGGGGATGGAGAAAGTTTCCTTTCCGAATTAACAAGCTACACCACCCATGCTTATATTGTGGTGTGTTTGGTGAACACCGTTGCGTCTTTTGTAACATTTAGCGACAATGCACGTAATGTTTCTGATATAGTCAGTGGTTGAGTGAACGTTTCATGGTAGATATGTGGAGGACATTTTAAAACATGATGCATCAATGACCAAAGTGATGTCCGATGCAATTCCCTATTTTGACTTGTAACAGTTGACAAGCCTTTCCATATGTTTATGACAAATGAGACCGGTGGGGCAGGATACGCCCACCTTTTTGCGAACACCAAGTATCATCACTATTTGTTAGTGATTCATAAATATATGCTCTGTCCTCGTATCTCATGATTTTGATCACTAAACAGACTCGAATCTCTACAGACCGCCGTCATATAGCCGTAATAATGTGTGTGGCGTTAAACATACAGACTCGTGCTCATCATATAGTCGGAATTGCACCACGAAATGTCTTATTGATGTCAAACATTATTTTGTCGCTTTTATATAATTATGTGTAATAGCTTATGCTATAGGTTAACCCTGTAATAGCTGTCAACTGGTTAATGCCAGGTGCGCGGTATATTTATTGACTATGTCCGGTAGGTCCAATATGATGTGTATGTCGAATATGCCCGGTACGTCTGATATACCGCGTTGATTGAAACATGTTGGTCGGAAACGGTATGTGTACTGAATGCGGCTTATATGTCTGATATTGTGTGTGTGCTCACTATGACATTGGTTACAGATCTCGCAGGACAAGACATCCTCCTTACATTTCTGGACCGGAAAGAATGCGACAGAGGTACGTTCCACGACATTTTTCATTATTCGATTTGTGAGTACATTATTGGGTGTGTCCACTGTGATCCTCCACTCTTCCGTCTAGAAACACATCTGGGTCGCAGAATGTCCATCCTGCCGTCTACTGAAACCTCTGTGTTTCAGAATGTCCATCCTTCCGTCTACTGTCATCTCTGTGTTTCATAATGTCCAGACTTCCGTCTAGAAACACATCTGTGTCGCAGAATGTCCACACTTCCGTCTACTGAAACGTCTGTGTTTCAGAATGTCCACCCTTCCGTCTACTGTCATCTCTGTGTTTCAGAATGTCCAGACTTCCGTCTACTGACACATCTGTGTCGCAGAATGTCCAAACTTCCGTCTACTGAAACGCTGTGTTTCAGAATGTCCACCCTGCCGTCTACTGTCATCTCTGTGTTTCAGAATGTCCAGACTTCCGTCTACTGTCATCTCTGTGTTTCAGAATGTCCAGACTTCCGTCTACTGACACCTCTGTGTTTCAGAATGTGCACCCTTCCGTCTACTGTCATCTTTGTGTTTCAGAATATCCACCCTTCCATCTACTGTCATCTCTGTATTTCAGAATGTCCACCCTACCGTCTACTGTCATCACTGTGTTTCAGAATGATGTGACCAACATCCATGACCTTGCGCACGAGTTGGACGCTACAATCTGTCGGGCCAGTATATTCTCAAGGGAGGTAAGACGTATATGTATATATACATGTGGATACATACGTATAGTATATCGGACAATATAGTACTTCACTGATTTCTTTAAATGATTTTATAAACTTACCTACCTGGTATTTCGCATTTAACTACGTGTGTCATCGTTGTCTTTTTCTTTGGGTAGGTACAAGGACACGAATCGTTATGCTTCCTGCGCCTGTTCCCAGAGGGACTTGTGTAAGTATTGACGAGCTTCAGGTATCCAGACCACATTGTGGGTGCGTCTGTGATCAGTGATATAACGTCCTAGGACACGTTAGTTGGTAAAACTATTCGTTTCATATTGTATGCCGATCAGATGCAAAATACATAATGTATGAGTGCGTATAACTGCCTGGTATAAAACTGCCTTCCAGAGAACAGAATATACATGAATTCATGGGGGTATACGTGACACATAGGACTACAAACTATGATGAATATGTGTCGTATCTATATGCATAGTTTATTTGCAAATGTTGTTTAAAGGTCCTTTACTACGCCCATTAAGCTCCTCTGGACGTGGTCTTGTGTTCCAGATATCTGGAGGGAGGACCCCACACCAGCCTCTCCAGAACTGCCCGATACGTCAAGCGGCTGTACGTCGTGACGGGGAGGAAACACGTCAGGGCTGCCTGCGTATGTACCTGCATCGGTCGTCTCGTGGTTGAATCTTTTAATCGACATTCAATGAGTTGGGGGCAATGTGTGAAGCACATGCCTGACTCTTCTGCTGGAATATTGCAACGTAACAATGACGATTCTACAGAATGCAAATATATTGATTTCTAAAAGTCAATAATTTGTGTAAAAAATACACAATGTCCATACACCTGCATTACCATTCATATACTGTCGGTGTGTTCCAGGAGAGGCCGACGGTATCAGCACTTGAACCCTCCGTGGCCGTCATACTGGACGGCTACCCTCGCGTCTACGTCTGGATCGGCAGCAAGTGCGGCTACGTCGCACGTGTGAAGGTAGAGGAACAATCACAGTCTGCTCATAGCAATTCCTTGTATATGTTCCTGCAGCGTAATTGTAAAGTTATAATGCCATGTGATACTCTGATTTCAGGCTATTCAGGTGGCTCGACGAATACGGAATTGGCAGAGGAAAGGGAAAGCGCATGTTGTCGTTATTGGTATGTGACACCACGCAGTCATCATGAATACGACACGAAAACATCTTACAACACGTTCAGAGGAGTTTCTACTATCACTAGAACTATATGACCAAGAAGGTTTATTTCTTTCATCTATAAAATACACTGGAAAGTAACAAATATGCCAAACAAGACATCAGGATAACCTTGTTTTCTTTTGTTCCCCGCATAAAATATATAGTTTTATCACAGGATTCTCAAATGTACTTGGTTACAAGGCAATCCTGGTTATAGTCTTCTTTGACATTCGGTAAAGTCCCCATCAGTGCAGATCATTATGTCACAAGTCTACTATATCGTAAATCTACTATTTAAACTATGTGGTAGATCTATTGAAGTTCTCGCTGAGTGTTGAGTGTACAGCCGCTGTAAACAGTATTCCAGGTGTATCACGGCGTGTCTGCTTGATGTGGGAGGAAATCCCGAAGTTATGCAGGTGTTAGATGTTTACCACTCTAGTGAAACCCACGTGCTCGGGTATCGTGCTGACACACCTAGAAACTCAATCGGGGAATAATACTGGAAGTAACCATGTTATTCTGTAGACGAGAAAGACGAAGAACTGAACAAGTCCTTTATGAAGAAGTTGGACGACGAGCGAGAGGAGTCGCCAGTCCACCATCAGATGAATGGGCACTCGGACACTGACCGCACGGAGGAAACTATCACGCTCCATCGGTAAGGAAATAGAGTAAATATTAGAAGCTGGTATGATGAAGAGGAACAATTTTTATGGATAGAAGGTATGCATCTATTGCGATAAAGTCGTCTATCCATAAAAAGTGTTCCTTTTCAGTAAATATTTAGTTGGTGCCACAAAGAGAAGTATTGTAATATCTAGTGAAAGCAGTGATAAACCGTTCCCCCCTTCAAAGCCAGTATTGTATGAATGGTTATATCCGGGTCCTTATTCCCCAGGGTGAGCGGAGATCGGGTGCTGTATGACATGCCCTACGCTGCACGGAAACCTCTCCAGTACAAATACCTTGTGTCCTCGGTAGGTATATACACGTCTCTTTCTCTCATTCTGAGTGGGTTTATTCGTTGAACGCCATCTGGGGAATATTTCAATTTTATGACGGTCTCATAGATTCATATGAGAACATAATTAATGGCGAAGAGGATAATTCCCGGTTTTGAGAAACCATTAACACGATTATGGTGGTGACAAGCCATAGATCATGACCAGCATCAGATCCTGGCGGGACTAAGGAATGCATTTATGTAAATGTAACTATTAGTATCTTTCTTGTATAAGTAAATGTACATTACTGGCTTATATAGGATGTTTATATAATATACCCACTGTGAACAAAGAACACGTGTTCAGAAATGAGTATAAATCCTATTTGCTGTAGTCGTGCTACCTGTTGGACACCGGACCTAACAACCCGCTATTTCTGTGGGTGGGATCTCACGCTCCGGTCACCGAGGTCAGCAATGCTATATCAAGGGGAAAGGTATGTTTTTCAGGGTTATTCACTCAAACTCGCCTTATGTTATGAGTGAGTGAGTATGGTTTTACGCCGCTTTTAGCAATATTCCAGCAATATCACTGCGGGGACACTAGAAATATGTTTCACTCATCGTACCCATGTGGGGAATCGAACCTGGGTCTTTAGCGTGACGAGCGGACGCTTTATCCATTAGGCTACCCTACCGCCCCTGTGACCTTTGTAAAATGGACAATTTGCAAGCTAGTTGCTTCAAAAAAGAGGGAAACAAATCGATCATATGTTTTAAGGTGTAACAAAAGGTCTCGACGTATAACTTTAAGACAGCATCTGCCGAGACCCTTCCGGAGCAAAGAAAGTTTTCCATTTGTCGCGAAGCTGTTTTTTTAGCTTACTTCATGAAGCGTTGTCTACTGAGCAAATACAAGATATAGTATATATTTATATCCAGGACCCGGTATATTTCTCATTTTCAAGTTTTCCAATATTTCACTGTGTGTTGTTTTAACCGCGTAGACATTCGCAGAACACAAGGAATACCCCAACAACGTGAATGTGTTCCGTGTTTTGGAGGGGCACGAGCCGCTAGTGTTCCGTCAGGCCTTCAATGACTGGAGGGATCGGCCACAAAGCCAGACAAGGAAGTACAGTGCTGGAAATATGGGTATGTTCTAGGGCCGGGACGGGTTACCCGGGTACCCAGGACGGGTGGAGTAATGAGCTGGACCCGGGTACCCGCTTTGATCACGTGACTAATAAATGAAGACTTAATTGAATGAGTTTATAATTATTATATATATTTACAGACTTAATTGTCTTATGTTTGAGATTGTGGACTAAACCAGCACAAGGTATCAATTGTCGACAACTAAGCATGTCACGTGTAACATAAGTGACAAGTACGCCAAGTAGTTAATTGTTTACATGTAAAAGACTCAAGGTTTCAGAAGTCGCCTCAAATAGAGTCTGAACAAACGCGAAGGTAGACCTATTGTTTACCGATTGGCCAGTTGTAATTTAAGGCATTTCAATCTATGGAACACAGGACTATTCATCAATCAACGCAATGCGAAACCCTGCTATGAGATTTTACCTAGGTCTAGGCTATTGAAGTCGAGGCTAATGAAGCAGTTATTGGTGACATGGGGAGGAACCCTGCAAATAGGTGTACGACAAGATATATGCTTGATTCGTTACTGGAGGAGAATGATGAATATGGACCAAGAACGTATGAAGCCCTATGTTTTTAATTGGGAAGTAATCAAGCATGGAACAGACACAAGCCTTGGCACTTAGCTTTTTACCGGCGAATGAACACATTGGGAATCACCAAAGAAGCTCATTTAAACAACATCATCACTGTAAGAGACTGTGAAGAACTATCGTTACAAGCTTTCATAAACAATAGTGAAATTTCATCACACCTGGAGAACGCAAAACGGTGATCGGGGAAAAACAAACTCTGGCACTACAGAACACAGGCCCTCGTGTTTTTGCAAGGATTAAAGATTTAAAGGTCACATGCAACGTAAAACACAACTTTGCAGATTCTGATACCTTTCGGTATGGACTTACCGAAACAAAGTGTCAAAAATGCAAATTCAACTTATAAAGTTGAAAAATAACGTGATGAAAAAAAACGCGCGAAATCGGAGTTCAAACGTTTCACTAATTTTCCCCAGACTTTTCTGGGGAATACGGGTTTCAACAGCTGGGCTGCGCTCATAGCACGTGCGCAGTGAAATAGGTTCGCGCAACTTGGAAGCAGTCTGTCTGGTGAATACTCGGTGAAGGCTTTGGTGTGAGCTATTTTCATAATGTTTTGTTGATATCTCACAGGCGCGAGCTTTTTATATGTTATGACAGTAAATAAACTGTTTATATAATTTCATTTGTCTATTTCACCACACGTTCTTCTTACCGAGTCACTTTCTCAGTTCGATACTTAAAAGCAATGTCATTATTTAGCGTTGACAATTTCTAACTGTGATATAGATATGTCGCTGTCACAGACAAAACTCAATGTCTTGTTTTATTGACACCTGTGTGTCTGCCTGCCTGTCTGCTAATGACAATATTCAATACACAACTGCGATCACTGACCACATGCAATTTGAACTTAACACCAATCAGGCTATACACCATAAACAAAACGCATTGATTTATGGCCCGAGTTCGGTCTCTGTCACATTATGTAATTACACAGACAGGCAGGTGTGATACTTGAACACATGACATGTTATGATGTCTGTTGATTGCAAAATGTTATACACAAAAATGAGCATGTATTTACAAACCCAACATCTCTATATATACACACACACATGAGCCGTGAAGGCGGCATCTGCTAATGAACCAGCCGTTACACTTGAGTGCACACCCACCCGCTCTGACTGGGTTCGGTATCCCGGCTGCTTCGTTTCGAGGGAGGTAAACCCAAGTACAAAATATTGCACTTTTGATTTGCGATTATACGCTTATAATTTTGTTTATTTGTTTTTTCATAATCAGCAATGCATATTATATGTCATGAAGAAGTGATAATTGTGTTTTAATTATGTTTGATTTTTTGGTTGCATGTGACCTTTAAAAATATTGTTTTTGAGATGATCCCCGACTCGAAATGCTTCACAGTACAATACATGATGTATTGTATTGTGAAGCATTTCGAGTCGGGGGTCATGTCAAATTTTTTTATATTTATAAAAAAGCTTTAATCCTCGCATAGACTCGAGGGCCTGTGCTACAGAATCCAAAAATCAATATTCGATATAACAGAGGCCTATGTTTTAACACCTCAAAGTCTCACAGACGTGCCCTCGCTTTGTTCAGGACGACGACGGGTACAGAAATCAGCGCCTCCGCTGTAAATAAAATCCGGCTTTGTGTCCACTTTACGACGATTTAAGAGAAAACCTTTCAACATCAGCAAAGTTTATCATGCCACGTTTTACCCTCTAACCTGAAATGTCATCAGTCCTTTTAAGCTCTGAAGATCTTATAAATGTACCTGCTTTAAAACCATTTTAAGACGCCGCCAAATTTTATATAAATAAGTTTTACATTTAATGTTAATATTTTTGCATATATGTTTTTAAGTTTATTTGTCATTTTATCTGCTCATATGCTTCTAATATATTGCTCTGTGATATTTAATTATCAACCGTCTCTCAAAACTCCATTTATAATATTTACTGTATATTTTTATATGCATTATTATTTATTTTAATGTACATATGGTGAGACGTAAATAAGCAATCTGTCTGTCTGTCTGACTTTTGTGATTGGATTATGAGTCCACGGGTGAGGGAGAGAGGTATTTACCTTGAAAACTTTATGTTTACATTACATTGTTTACTTGTTAGTTTAATGGTATACACTTTTTATTTTTACCTTCAATTGTATTTTGCCTGTAGATTGGAACGGCATTTGTTTGTAGCTTCTGGTTTGTTACGGAGGGATGTTTCTTCTTCAGATGTTTCCACATCGATTACGTACTTCCTCCTTTCTGACTTAGCTGCACTGTGCACAAAGTGCATTTTGTCTTTGTGCCTGATGCGAGTATTCAAAATACCGTAACTGATTTTATTGAAGGGGAATAACTCGCAATTAGTGATATAACGGGTACCCAACATAAAACACAATCTCAGAAGTGCTGTACTTGAGGTTGATGAAATATTTTCTTTAGAAACAGTTTTGGGCCCCAATATCATGTACGGGTCCGTGCAACGGGCAGTTTTAGATTTTGTCTCGTCATCTGGAAAATATCATGTAATCTAGACAGGCTCTCAAGTGGCTTACACATACATTAGAATGTATTTAGTTCTGTGGTTTTAAATCATATTAACGCTCTGTCAATTTAACCTACTGCTTTTTTAATGAATAAGTATTTCATGTTTCAGAAATGGAAGTGATTACTTAAAGTTATAATTCCGTAACATGAAGCAGAGGTTATTCGATATATGTATACGTCTATCCAAATGAATATTAATAATAATAACTAAACGATTCCTTTTGGCGATGAAATAACTATAATGTTTTATTAAATCAAGTCAATGTGTTGGGCGCAAATACGCCTCTGATTGGCCCACGTCGCCCTCAAACTATAAAACCAATCAACCTATAACGGGTACCCGGGTCGGGTCGGGTAATAGGGGGTCGGGTACCCGGGTAGGAAATTTGGACCCATCCCAGCCCTAGTATGTTCCTTCTAAGGAGTGTTCAGAGATACTTAGAAAAGTGACCCTAGTCGTGCCTCGATACTTAAAGCAACCATAGAGCCACCATAATAAAAATCACTTTTATAGAAAACGGTATATTTACAAAATATCCACATACACCTTAATCACCGCCTAGTCCAATGTTCTGTGACTGTTCGATATACAGTAAACAACTTTTATCACGAACACTCTTATAACGAACCGGTTTTTTCCTTACCTGTTGCTGTATATTTTAGTTGAGATGCATGTAACGAACTATGGTTATAACAAAAGACAATTAGTGGTCCGTTTGAGTTCTTTCGAACAGTAGATTAATGTACAAGGGAAGATGTTTTTGTGACTGCTTCCTGTTCACCACAGGTAGGGTGTTATTCTCTCGATCGAGCAAGCGAACCGTAGCTAAAGTGGGGGACACGTTATCAGAAGATACAGTGGAGGAAAGCGACATCATCAACACGGACGAGGTTGGTTCATAACTGCTGTCGTTGTTTGTTGTGCTAGGATTCAGATGCTTGACCACCGTTTGGTTCACTTTAAATGGCCACAAGAAAAATAAATCTTAAGACGAGGGGTTCAAGAATAGATCAGTGACACAGTACATAAGTGTGGCTGAGCACCCTCTGAAGGTGGCTAAACATTGAACTAATGTTGTGCTATGCACGGGAGCTTGTAGGTCCAACGCTCGTTCACTGATAGCCATCTACATATAGATAAATATAAGTAGTATATATCTATATGTAGATGGCTATCAGTGAACGAATGTTGGACCTAGGACGTATTATTTTCAGCAATACAGCCCCTGTGGCGCCATGGAGCTTCAAGTTGGCAGTTTCGGCAACTGTCTCCTCCTAGTAGAGTTTTGATAACGTTTTAATTTATTAATCGAATCCAATTTTCAGATGTATGCTTTCATGTTTTCACTGTTTGCGTAAAGTCAATGCAGGTATCTGGTAAGAGTTGCACATGTTGATATCGATAAGATGAAGGTCGTTGTGACAGGAATACTCTTGTTAATGTTTGAAGAAAAGTTTTCCCATTATTTGACATTTCTGTAATTCAGTAAGAACCCTAACAAGGCTTATACATATTCTGGTATTTTCAGCAGCTGCAGGTGTACGTACTGAGGGACAACTCCCTGGAGTTTGTGGACAGATGGGATAACGGTAGTTTCTCGAACGGCCAGTGCTACATCATAAACAACCAACATCTAGATGACCGGCATTGCAAGCGGACCCTGTACTACTGGATGGTAAGTTCAATAGGTGGTAACTTGGTTCTGGTGAAGTCAGGTGTTCGTGAGGGCCGTCAACTATGGGTGTGAGCTTGGTTTGGGTGAAGTCAGGTGTTCGTGAAGGCCGTCAACAATGGGTCGGAACTTGGTTTGGGTGAAGTCAGGTGTTCGTGAGGGCCGTCAACAATGGGTGGGAACTTGGTTTGAATGAAGTCAGGTGTTCGTGAGGGCTATCAGCAATGGTAGGGTGGGACCGGCAGATGAATTAAGCCAGGTGTTTGCAAGGAATGTCAACAATAGAGGATGGGAACTGCGGGTGAGTGACATCAATAGAAGAATGGGAATACACTCAACAAGGCTGGAGTAATTGAACTATTTCTGACCTTATCAGTGAGATATATTTTGATAATGACGTTGAGATGCATATTTAAATTCAGTATGCAACTGCGGGGAACAAGTAGGCAATATAGAGGTGGCACTCTTTGAAGTACTAACTCATTCTAGAAATTATTAATGATGTTAGCAGCTAACGACGCATTACGCTGTGCATGTCTGTACATTTATCCTAGTATATCAGACCAAATTGCATTATTCAGTGAGTTAAAACGCTCGTTCCTATGAGCGAATGATGACATTAGGAAGGCCTAAAGACAAAAGCCGTCTTGCGTTCGTCTTTCGTGTCGTCGTTGCCGAAAACAGGAGCCGTCGTTATTAACACCGTCACAGAAAGATGTAATCCTTGTTTATCCAAACAAAATGAATATTCATTAAATCATAAAACCACTATCAAGCAATATAATACTTAAGGGTTATAAACGTTGTCGCTTGTAATCAAATCAAAGCCTACGTCCACGAAATTAGATCTACACTCTTGATATTAACGCACATACTTGTCATCATGAACAGAATGGTCTTTGTAGAGATGTTTGGTCGGTGTTTGATGTCACTGTGTTTGGGTTTGATTTCAAACCCAAGAGAACCCATTTGAACGGGTGTGAACCCAGTTAACCTTGGTGTACGTCATACTTCGGTTGCTCTAAGTTGCCCATACCTGTTTCACACCTGGAGTGTGGTATTCTGGTTAGGAACTTACCAGTGGTCTCGTTAAAGTCGATTAGTTGTGTTTACTGAGTCAGTTATGATTACGAAGGATTTTAATTAACACAATTATACAGTTATGCAGTCACGATACAGTTATTGATTTATGTAAATATTGGAACATGTTTTACGGAGAGTGTTGATATAGATACTAGTTTGATATAGATACAATATTAGTGTTTGATGTACGTATTTGTACACGTTAATTTTCCTTTCCTGAATAGAAAAAGATACAATGGCAATCTTGTCAAGTAAAGTTAATGTCTCATAGTTGTGTGTTTTAGAAATACTATTGTGTTTCTTCATCCATTGATGTAACAAGGATGCAAGTTAACCATAATTAACCCTGGTGAATCTAGTCAAGTCTTCTTGTCACAGATGTTACATAACCAGTTCAGTCAAATGTTACTCATTCAACTCGCGTTATGTTACTAATCGCCATGTTCTCTCGTCTTAGGGTAGTAAGGCCTCCGCGCCAGACAGGGCGCGGATCGTGGAGTTGGCGATGGTGATGGAGGAGGCGTACCACCATAACACCGCTCTGGTACGTTACCTCGAGAAGACGGTAGATAAAGCAGGAAATGCTGCCTTACTCGCCACGTACAGTCTACATGAACAGTCATCGTTCAACATTCATAACGGTGCTATCAGTTGGACTCGTTCTGACTCGTTCAGGTCACAACTATCACCTCACAGGACATACAGAAATCCAACAGTTAAACTTGATAATGATCGCTTTATAATGGAGTACATGCGGTGATGCAACTCTATTTTCGCAACAATATCTTGTGTTGCTGTGAAATTTCACCAAAATTATCATTCAACCATTATCGATTGTAAAGGAGGTCAGATGATACGTGATTGCTGACGCGAGAGGAACGTCATTCTTGGAAACAGATACTAAAATATTGCTAAACCTTTCAATGAGCTCAGTAAATGGAGGTCTATATTGTGTACTGATAAAGAATCAATGTCAGTACGTCCTAGCATAATCTGTACACCAAACAGTTATTACCTTTAGCATGTATGTGTTTCAACAAATAATACATTCGTGATCATCATGAGCTGTCTCTTGGTCTGTTGCAGGTGCGTGTTCTGGATGGAAAAGAACCCAGTCACATGCTCAACGTCCTGGGAAATTCAATGATTGTCGTAGGTTTATATTACTGATAGAATACGAACACACGTTTTAAGCTGCGAAAGAAGTGAAACTGACTTAAAATCATACCGTTCGAGACAATCAAGTCTCAGTCACGATACTGAGGTTGCCTTTAGTATTATAACTGTGGTGGCATTAACCAAGTTGTATACATGCAGTGTGACTGAGGTACATACCGGTCGACTCCACGTCATAATTGCATCCATACCCTCAAAATCGTTTCAGAAACGTCCATGGATATATTCCATACATAGCCAGTCGAATGACATTAGTTAACTAAAGCAGACTTTATGACACTGACTGACAGTAATAGGTATATCAGCGTACAATGGACGCACAAGTAAAGAGTGATATTCATCTTCGATATCACCCTGCGAAACTAAGTGAATGTCGGAATGTCTTTATTGATTTGTCTTATTCTTTGCACCATGGCTGAAACAATGCCGATGCTATGTTAAATTTTAAGTTTAAACTTAAAGTTTAAACTCATTCATCATGATCTGTGTACAGTTCGATAAAGACCTGGAGGAAACATCACCGTCAGTCCAAGTCTTCTCCGTGCGGGAGTTTATCAAGGGAAACATTAGAGTAGCTCAGGTAAACACCTTCACATTGGTTTTTGTACACTTGGGAGCGAACGTGGGATGGGAACCAAGACCTGTGGCATAAGGAAGACATACCTAACATCCTGTGTGTTATCGACTCAGATTTACGACGCCTGCACCTAAACATGTTGGTAATTGTGATTGCTGTTGAAACGCCCAGTTCTCTATTGTGACCCTTTTCACAGGTCCCGCCAACAGCAGCGTCACTTTACTCGTCGGCAGCTTTCGTAGTTATCTCCCCTGACGACTGCTTTTTATGGTATGGACGGGTACGTGCAAGATAACATCATTTGTTTCTGTCGATCTGACGTTTACCTTCTACCGTGCATATATATCATTTCATAAGTAATTGAACAATTACTGCCAAAAAACATCTCGGTTAAACTGTGCATATTTGTATGAGAACACTCATGCTGTTGATCACTGGATTGCCTGGTCCAAACTCGATTATTTACAGACCGCCGCCATATAGCTGGAATATTGCTGAGTGTGGCGTAAAACTAAACTCACTCACTCACTGTGTGAGAACAAGAAAGCGTTGATTTATTGTAAAGCCACACTACCATGGTTCCTTACGACCGTCTGCATATTCACAGATGCTTGATTACTTTTCATCGAGTTTTCACCCTTACCAACCAGAAGACGGTCAAAGTTATTACTTTAACATACTCAACATTATTAAGATGTACTTTGCCAAGTTCAACGCTAGTTCATTAAATTTGTTTCCTTAGAAAAAGTATTTTAGTTTTATTGATTATATTTTATTGATATCTCAACATTATGTGTGGCATATACCGATAAGGTAAGCTTGCTAGACAAGACTAATGAACATCAGTTGTCAGCAGACGGGTATGAGTGTTGTGATTTGGGACTGTTGCAGCGTTCTGGTGGCCCTGAGAGGGAATACGCCAAGTACATCCTTGGGTATCTTCATCCGTGCAAGTAGGTCATAAATCATACAGATTTTCAGGTTCATGTAATTCGTCATATGAAATATATATATTATCGATCTCACTTTCACTTTCAAGTTTAATATCGTTCCGAGTTTCCTCTGATCACAAAAGCACAACGAGCAATGGAGTGATTTCCAACTGAGTCTTCCGTACATCTGTGTGTGTGTGCGTGTGTGATGTTGCAAGTACGGTTCCTAAACTGTGACTACGTGTGTGTGTGTGTGTGTGTTTTAGATGTTGCAAGTACGGTTCCTAAACTGTGACTACGTGTGTGTGTGTGTGTGTGTGTGTGTGATGCTAGTACGTTTCCTGAACTGTGACTACATAGTGTGTATGTGTACGTGTTGTTCCCCCGTTGCAGAATGTACGATTACGACATAGTGACGGAAACGAAGGAGACGGAGGTGTTCTGGTCCGTGTTGGGCGGTAGACTCCAGTATGAAGCAGATTACATCACCACGGTAACTATCATCCTGTACATCTCTACATGCATTAGAAACATGTTCAAGTAGGAATTCCTGGGATGAAGGTCCTGTCACATTCTACATTAGTACTCCAATCTGCAACCCTGTCTATCGTCATTCCATGTGCTTAAATATCATCATGGAGAATGAAAAACCAGTTACTGATAATAATATAACCAGGAGTTGTACATGTTTCAGCGCCTAGAAAGGAGGAATCCTCGCCTGTTCCACTGTTCTGACGAAGTATCTGGGTTTAGCTTTGATGAGACGGTTGACTTCAATCAAGAGGTATGCATGGCTGCGTGTTCAGCTTTAGAAAACAAAATTTGACAATATCAAGTCATCCTATCTTTGTCATGACTGAAAGAGTGACTTATACGATTTGCAAGTATACGTTTACTTTAGGTATATCATTATGTTTACGATAAATATGATGTTCTCAAGTACGGGACATAGTCTGATGTCAGCTACTGTAGAAGCACCCGTTGATGTGGTAGACGTTGTATCTTCCCAATCTATATCTTCCCGATCTATATTTCCCTGACTGTCATCGATCTGTTTACAGGACTTCACTGAACAGGACTTGATGCTCTTCGACACATTTGACCAGGTAATTGTCCAGGGCTGACCTCCACAGCGTTAGTATGATTGGTGTCTGCGTGAAAGAAAGCGCCCTCATACATACTGTCTGCAGTGGTGCCTCGGTCACAGTGCTGAAACCCTTGAATCCCAGTCTGGAGACTTAACATTGATGAATTGGCGTTTAAAAAATCACATGCAGACTGCGAGTGCACTACCCTGTATTCGGGGAGGGGATTTATCAGTCTGTCATGACGGGGAAGAAGCGTACTGCCATTTGTCTCGCAAACAAATTGCAAGTTTCTTTTCACCATGGGGATTGCTGTCGATTTGCTGGGAGGAAAGTGAACCATTACCACTAGTGACGGACGTCCAACTATCATTATGTACTTTACAGTAGCCTGAAACACGTTCCCTTGGCCAAGTTTAGGAGGAGAGAGCTGCTGAGTGTTGTAACAGATATTTATTTCCCTTGTTTGATTGTCGAATGCGTCTTCATTGAACCTATTGAGCCACACGCCATCCATTGTTAGAGGTTACAGTTCAATAACCAATCACTTAGTCTTTATACATTGAACTGCTGTTGAGATTTCGGAAACAAAATAGACAAGGCAAGTAGGTGGTTCTTATTTATGACTGACCATGTAGTCAGCTATGAACTAGAAATGTTTGGAGAAATATTCAAAGTTCACAGATGTAAGAGCGTATCTTTTCCATTACCAATAACTAAGCTTGTTTAACACTACATTGTCCTATCCTGTTTTTGACAGATTTTTCTGTGGTGCGGTACGAACATTGACTCAAACACACGCAACATGTTTGGAGACGTTGCACAGGTGAGTTGTGTGGTCAACGTTTGATGCCTTGCACCTACTGGACATTTCAGCCACGTGTTATATCCAGAACAGTTACCAGTGTTAAAACATGTCACTTGGCCTGAGTGAGTGAGTTTAGTTTTACGCCGCTTTTAGCAATATTCCAGCAATATCACGGCGGGGGACACCAGAAATGGGCTTCACACATTGTACCCATATGGGGAATCGAACCCGGGTCTTCGGCGTGGCGAGCGAACGCTTTAACCACTAGGCTACCCCACCGCCCCTGTCACATGGGGTTGAGTATAATGTTATAGTACCATAGAGACCTTGTCACTGACCTTCGTTGTTAGTAGCTCATGTGGGTCACCTAGAACGTGTAAATGGCTTAGTCATATGTTACTACGTGAGGTTCAACCAAGCAAGAAATATTCCAGTTAAATACGGCATGTTGTATACGACAGTAGTATAAACGGCGGCAGGTTGAGCCTGGAGTCCGGAATGTCCGACGAAGGAGTACATAACTGAGTATATATAACTGTCTGACGGCATGTGTATCTGTTACTTCCCTCTGAAACTCCAGATAACAGTAAGCTTTGCATCCACTGTGTGGTTACACTAAGCAGCAGTTCTCCACCATACACCTGGTCAGATGGGCGAAATGACCAGACAGGCCACACTCCCAATCACACGCGTTATTACCCTTTATTGCCAATTTCCGCGTTAGCTCGTGGGTAAGCCGCCACGTTTCCAAGCACACTTGGGAAACAATTGGCTCTATTTGAAAGTGATTGCCAACTAACGTCTGTTCTGGTGTGTGACTTCGGTCATGTTGTGACGTCCGACAACGTGGGTCGTTGACCGTGCACTCATCCCTGTGTATATTTTGTCTAAACTCGATACAACACAGACGGTGGCATAACTATGCTGACTGCCCGAAACATTTAGCCCCTCCATAACATATAGTGAGGTCGTTAGGAAACAGCTAACCGTATGCAGAATAAACGGATTCTGTCTTAAATTAAGCTGCAAGTTAGTTACTAAGGGCACGGTTTCACTAACCTTGGGTTTCATCGGTTCATTGGTTCTCCCCGCCATGATATGAAGAATTTATTGACAGGTTGAAAACATTCATGAACGTGAATTGAAAATAACGTAACTGTTTCTTCTTGTGTGGCCAAGAAATAAATAAATATCAAGGCACAATTTTGTTGACCCGTGAAGATCCAGGTTAAATTTGGTCTTCAGTAACCCATGCTTCTTGTGAGAGGTGACTAATGGGATCGGGTGGTCAGACTCGTTGACTTGGTTGACATGTCATTATATCCCAATTGAGTAGATCGATGCTGATGCTGATGCTTTTGATTACTGGATCGTTTGGTCCAGACTCAATTATTTACAGACCGCTGAGTGCGGTGTTAAACAACAAACAAACACAATTGTGTTAATTAAATATGATCTACTTACTGGATATGTTCTTAGTTCGTTCACTTCAATTGCTGACAGGGCTTCCTATAAGCACAGGTATCGAGCTTTCTTTATCTTACCGTGTATTGTACCGCAAGCTTGCAATTGGAGTATTTGTCTCGTGGCAACGAAGTGTAAAGTTTTAACCCTTTGAGTTACGATGCTACACGTTTTCCAATTGTTGTTTCAGGCTTACCTGGCCAAGGACCAGGCAGGTCGGGACTCATGGGACATCCAGCTGTGGTACATCTGTCAGGGACACGAACCACACGGCTTCACCAAGTACTTCAGGAGTTGGACACCCAAGGGATTCGGGGTGAGGCATTTTCAGCGTGGGTAAACCATGTTCCCAACGTATCACGAACATCACCTTTGTTTAGATATGGCGAAAACTGCCACGTTCAAAACATCAACGATGTGTCCCATCATCGATAATTGATACATTTGATTGATATAGCACTTGAAAAGCAGTACATCTACAACAAAATATCATTAAAATACATAAGTGTTAATTATATCATGACTTGACGACGTCGTGTAACCTGATATGTTTTACTTGAGACCAGCGTAGTGCCACCGTGTCATTAGAACTGGTATTTTGAAATACCAAGACACACAGATAGCCCCTCGCAACTGAATAAACTGAGATAATTGTGTTTGTTTGTCTGGAGAGACATTATCGAGTCATTCAGTTCCTAGAATAGAGCGTTTCTCCCGTCTCGTTCGTTAGAATTAGCCCCTGTATGTGTTTCCTCGCTAACCCCAGCATTACCCACAGGCGCGAGACTCCTGTCTGATACACTACCGTTAAGTACTCTGTTATCGTGGCCGCATATTTGAATACACTGATCATTGGCTCAACATATTGATAGCGTCTATCTGATGAGTGTGATATAATTGGGACAGGAACCAGACTCCGGCCGACAGCAGCGGACGTGTATTGTTATGCAATGTGCAGCTGACGGCAGTGGACGTTTGTGTTGAAGAGAGCACAGTCGTAAATATCGGTTCGTGACAACAGTTCGTTTTTACGAGCTGACAGTTACGAGCATGTTCTCTTACCCAAATTATCGCTACATGTATTTTTTTTTAACTTTCTTTTTATGTAAATATTTAAAATATACACTGTATAAATTTTTGTTTTCTGTACCTATATTGTGGGATTAACCATTCACAATTGCACGTAGAATGTGCTCCGTACTGCTGTGGCCAATCTTCGTTCAACATGGGTCCTTTGAGAACCTGCTGATGGTGTAGATGTGAAATATAGAACTAAGAGCAAGTACACACACGCACGAACGCACGGACACACACTGTTTACAATAAGTTTAAGAACGCTTGATTGACGTCCATTGTCTTCCGAAATGATTCCACTGTGTACATAATGTACGTAATCAAAATGTGTGTTTCAGCGAACTGACTACAAATACATAGACTGAAAATTAATCGATCGTTTACATAGCTGAGTGACGTCACATGTGTGTATCATGTAACACCATATTACGGCATAAACCCTATTGTTACGCGTTGTAACATTGTTTTACCACAACCATATTCCCACCGACGCATGCAGTAACTGTGCTATGTATTTGGACTGTTCCAATGAACCCTCTGAGCTGGATATCATCATATCAACAGCAGGATTTACCTCATGGTGATTGATGACAGTGCGTTCCTAACGACGTACTATATTCATCCCTTGAAATGATCTTTATTCATGACGTGGCAAGAAGTAGCACATAAACCATATGGGTGCTGTCGTGGTACGTCAAGGTATTTAAACTGTCAGGACCGGTACCAGACAAGCGTGGACATGTCGGACGTACACACCTCTCTCTCCACCACAGATTCCCTCTACTCCTCTAGCTCTACCACACTGCCACTGTGTCGTGAAAACTGTGAGGTCATCCAATCAGGTGCTTCTTTATTTAGTGCTTCATTTATACGGAAGGTAATTGCAAACTTGGTCAGGAACCTTCTTTCAAATCAGAACAACCGTGAGAACTGAATTATGGTGGAAGCATCCCTTAAAATTTGTAATCTGTTTAAGGCGTTCATCTGTGAATCACCTATGTTCCTTGTGGTCTTAGCTCCAATTTCCTTGTCAATAAGATGGACAAAACTGAACCGTTCTGTTGGTTGGTTTGTTGTTTAACGCCACGCTCAGCAATGTTCCAGGTATATAACGGCGGTCGGTAAATAGTCATGTTTCGAACAGACAATCCAGTGATCAACAGCATGAGCCTCGATCTACACAATTGGGATACGATGACAAGTGTCAACCAAGTCAGCGAGCCTGACCACCCGATCCCGTTACGAAAACCATGGGTTGCTGAAGATCAATTCTAAACCGGATCTTCACAGGTCGAACCATTCTGTAGACAGGGGGATATGGCTACCTTTAGTGCCATTGATCCAGGTCAAGGATGACCCTTCTGTTAATGAAGCAGCAGAACATGTTCAGTAACTCAATCACTGGTCGTAGACATAATCTTCAGCCTGGATCTGGCAATAGCTGTTTGCTCCCTGTCTGGCTTTTACATCTACATTTAGTTCTAACATTTACACTAGGGTAAACATAGTGAGGTGGTGTTTTAAATTAATTACTCTCAGGATAGAAAATCGTAACACTTTGAAACAATAATTCTGAGCTTTCAACTGAATTTTAGCTGCGCAGAAGAGACAGGTTAGCCATGTGGGTTGAATGCTTACTGCTAATACCCTGGTTCGAGTTTCCATGTGACTATAATGATTGAAGTGCATTGTCGTGTTTCCCTGTTGTAATATTGAGGAATGAAAAGAACGCAGACACGCACACACACATACTTACTAAATTGTCTCAGATTTGGCCTATAGTTTCGCCATATCAGTGCTCCTTGGAGTTACCAAAGTGACAATGACTACAACTTCGCTATTTGGGCAACTACCTGTTGTGATTGTGTACGTTGCATATATAAAGGCAGTACTGGACACATCCATTAGCTGTGAGCGTCACCAAACTAATACCGTTGATTATGGCCACGTAATACGCCTTATGATCGCTTAAAGCAGGGCCAGTGGAGAACAACTGTTGTCTGGAATCCAACTGGGGAAGTACAGGAGTCTGTTGAGTGTGTCAGGTCTGGTAACCACGGTGTTATATGTCGTCGCCATGGGCAGGTCGAAAGAGACGTTACTCTATCTTATCAAGTTGAAAAACGACGAAGCGCTTGCGTTATATCTTCAGATAGTCAGACAAAATCGACCGGACCCAGATCCAGTAATCATTGGTCTGCAATACAAAAACGTTTCAATCCGTTTTAAAATCAAGATAGAAACATAGCTCATCATACTTTTCTTTCACGGTGATTATGTTATTTTCAACCAAGTGTACAGGCCTGTTGATCATTCTCCTTCAGACCCCAAACCTCGATAAATGTTTACTCTTCATGTCTACAAGCACTGCCTACAGAGGTCCGATCAAGGTATTGAAACACTCTCAACTAGTTCTGTTCCCCTGCCAATCCTGGAGATTGAATACAGGCGTACACGTGTTTTGAGAACACGTTGACAGAAGTGCCAGATGTTGCTGCAAGCATGCCGCCGTAATTGGTGTAAATCCATTTCTGGTGGAAGATCTAATCAAATTCTGCTAGCGTTGTGTTTGAGTAAGTGATCGGCCTTCTATCGGCGTGTAAGATGTGGGACGGTTGTAGTCTTGTCGAAACCATCTTCATCTCCTGCCCTTTCTTTGTAAAATGATTCTTTATTTTGCTGAAAGGACTTCAGAAATGAAAAGCGTTTTACACTAACTGAATCATCATGCGTCTTGATGGTTGTCACAAATATATTGTTCTTAAGGAATAGAATCAAATATTCCTGTTTTATCAAGTCGACCGTTCTAAGATTGATATATGATCTCACTTTGTCTTGAACAAACGTTGGGTCGGCACCTCAAACGCTCGGTCTAGATTCACAGATTCAGGATAGATTGTAGTTTGATAGCGAATAAAGAGCAACCTAGGCATACGTGAGTAGATCAAAAAGTACGTAGACTTACTGTATTCTCGATGTCCAATGTTTGAAAAGCTTCTATTTTATTTTGAAGGAATCTTTAGCAAAGTCATATCCAAACTTTCACATATGTGGGTAATATGGTTAACGAGATATTAGTCATCACAACACATAGAGGTATAATATTTCTAACAAAACTGCAGAAAATGAAAAACGATCTGTCATTTGGTACCTCTTGGATAATGGTATGCCCTCAGAGTATATCATATAAAATATGTTCAGTATAGTATTGGATGACTTCCCGCCATAATCAACAGTCAAATATTTGGATTGCTTAATTTATATTTAGTCGAGGGCTGTTTTTTAAGGACACCCCCCATTTCAATCTTCCTAAAACATTGTGTCCAGATATTCAAGCGGGTACTCTTTACAATATATTGTGAGCTGACACTTGTGTGACCATTCAGTGTTTAGTTTGAACCTTTGTCATCATGTATGAATAAGTGAAAACATTAGAATAAGTTATGTCCTTATGATTACGTCATCTGAAAGGGGATGGGTAGTGTCTCCAAAACAAACTCTTTTCAGTCAACATGAAGGGGAGAGTCACTTTAGCAAGCGATTGTAATTTCAAAATGCTTTTTATGAACTTTAATGTATAAGTGTGATTCTAGGGGACTTCTATCAATCTCAAACACACAAAATTTCTTGCATTTTTTGTTTCCTGCAGTTTTTGATGCATTTATTGTAGATTTTGCGTTTTTTGAGGGTACCTAGATAAAAGTCAAACAAAATGGGGATCGTGAGACTGGAACCAACATGCTTGAGCTTGACAGATAATATGTAGAAAAATAAAATATAAAAATGACTGCATTTGTATCGTTTTCTTGGTGACTCTACATTTTTTTTGATCGCCCCTCGTACCTTCATAACATAGCCCACACATGCTATACCACAGGATTAGAAAACACCACTGCTCAATGGGGAAACTGTCTTGAAACGAACTTCTCATCAGGCCCAGCCCCTACCTTTCCCTCGATGAAGTAAGTATGTAGTTAATTTAAACTTGGACAAGGAGGAAGCAAGTTTAAATATATGATATGCGCCTTACATCCTCTCGATTGTCAAAATACGCAACGTCCAGCTTCAAATCATAACTCCCAGATCCAGTTGAATTTCACGTGGGCTTTCTGAAACAGTGGTTGTGTGAGTGATAACGTCTACCTGTTCCAGCACACCACCGGGCACTGGCTTGTCTTGATAAACACGCCGACACCAGAGGTTATAAATCAAACCAGTTTGCAGGAAACGTTGCCCTATAGATTGATCATAACATTCTCAATTGATCAATCCTGGCCCAACGAGGTATTAACTTGAAGGGGGCGCGAGATTGAATGTAATCTGGTAATTTGATGGGTTCTCCGACCGAGATGGTTGGGAATACATGCCACTTGTTTGCCGCGGGTGATAATATACTTTCTTCTGCCCAGGGGCACAGTGGAGAGGGTTTCAGCTGCAAAATAATCTTAAGGATTCTTTGATTCAGTCTTTTGACAGTTCACACAAAGAAGCGTGGTGCAATGTCATTTTTGCTATCGCTTCAGTTCCACATTTCATCATAGCGCATATGGTCTTAACTGCCCTACGCGGTATATCTGGTACATGAAATATCTAGGAAACTATAATTACGTATTTTAGCCCCAGTAGCGGTTCTGGTCTCGCCTATCGACCAACCCTTTCCTGGTGGAGTGCATGTACATATCGGACACTCCAGTATTCTCCTCCCTCCAAGTGCTGGGGGACAGACTGAGCATATCCCTGTAGACTTAATGTTATGTCGAGGTACAGACAAATAATGACGACGCAATTGAGAAGATGTAAGGTAAAAACGTAAATATATGTAAGAAAATACCATATATACTCCTCAGCAAAATAACCCGTCAGTACGAATTCAAAATTAGATAGGCACTGTTATCAAATCATTACAGAAATTGACATAATAAGCGGATCAAAAAACATTTTTTGTGTACAATATCTTGACACATCAATTTCAAGACGTTACGTGAACGTTTGCAGTCCATTCAGACTCTTGACTTCAGTATCTAGTGTGACCACCACAAGCGGCAATAACTGCAGCACAGTGTCTATGCACGGAGTGCACCAATCGATTGATGAAGGCCATTGGCACCTGGAACCACACTCTGAGAAAGGCTTGGCGCAATCAATCGGCTGTGTTCGGCTTTGGTATGACATTATTCAGTCTGAATTTCATCCCAAAGATGTTCTATTGGGTTTAAATCAGGACTAAGGGCTGGCCACTGCATAATGTTGACACCGCTCTGCTGTTGGAAGTCCTGTGTAGCTCTGGCAGTATGGGCCCAGGCGTTATCATGCTGGAAAATGTTGTTCCGGTGACGTGCGAAATGTGGTGTGACGTGGGGGTCTGACAGCTTGGTCGAAGTAGCACACCCCTGTGATGCCGCCTCCTCTCCCTGGAACAAGGTTCTGGAACACCACAGGAACCACTCTCTGGTTCAGACCTATTCCACCCCATACCATGATGCTTGCACCTCCCCATGAGTCTCTTTCCATAACACATTGGTCTGAGTAACGCTGGCCACGACGTCGCCATATTCTTGTTCTGCCATCTGCAGTTGATGCTCAGTACCGACTCTCATCTGTTAACAGAACAGTTCTCCATTGCCTGTATCGCCAGTTTTGGTGTTGTAGGGCAAACTGTAGACTTTCACGCCTTGACGTGGGCTGAGGATAGGTCCACGGTAAGGTCTACGGCAATGAAGGTTCCCGCTGTTAAGACGTTGGCGTACTGTATCAGTACTGATTGGTCTTCCGTGTGTTCCCACTGTCTGGCGTGGCGGTCTCGTCGTCCTGTGGTCACCCTTGGTCTGCCAGTACGGGGGCGATCATATGTGGTGTTGGTGGCCCGGAAACGTTGCTGCAGCCTGTAGATGGTCCGAACGTTGACCTGGAAGTGATTGGCAACGGCTTGTGCAGTGTAGCCAGCTTCAAGCGCCTGGTTCCTCTGAGCTGTCGTGAGTCGCGGCATCCTGCTGACGTTGTAATGTGAATGTTTCAACCAGATTTGGGGGTGCATTTTACAGGGCTGGTCCTTGTGAACAGCACGTGCAGCATGAGTTGCATGAAAAACATGGAGAACACCGTACCATCTCCGAGATCAGGTTGCGTTTTTGAGACCATTTCCTGGGTTCCATTCTGAGTTTGGGAAGGAAATTCTTTGCTCAGGTAAAGTTGGAGATGTTGTCAAAAATATACAGTCAAAACATTAAGTTAGTTTCTGCGAAGGAAAATTCCAATCTGACGTTTCTTTTGCTGCTTACTATGTTAGTCAGATTACTTCCCTCCCCACCCGACAAAATGCAGGAAAAAGATGGACTATAATCACCTTTGTTGATAATTAATGTTGTATTGATAATGTAGTGACTATTATCTCAATGAGAAGTTATGTGTTCGATGGTATCGACGTGTCTCAAGTTGATAAAAATAGTTTCATTCACTTGGACGCTTCACTATTGCTGTTACAGGGAAGAGATGTTTACAGCCTAGCTAGAAAGAGAGTGCGGCAAGAAAACGCTCGGATTGATATCAGTTCAGATGTAAGTGTTGACGGAAGAATCGAAGTTTGAGTTGAATATTATGTTTTGTAGTGGGAATCATATAACAGCAAAACTACCATAGCTATGCATTTAAGTGTGTGCAATAACTCGGTTAATATTTCAAACCAAAAGGGTTAACCTTTCTATTTCGAGCTCTCTGTATTTTCTTTATGTCTGTTGTCACAGATACTCGACAGGTCCCACGTTGTTAAGGCTAAGTATCCATACAAGACGTTGGTGAGAGGAGAACTCCCACCTGATGTAGACCCAGCAAACAAACAGGTAGATTGTGGTTTTATGTTGTTTATGGAAACAAAACAACAGTTTCCAAATTTTGATTTCACAAAGCCTAACAAAATTACAAGAAACAATTGAAAAGGGATGACAATTTCCCTGTACTGGAGAATGTTATTTTTAGTTCAGGCATGACACGTTTGCAGTCAGTAGGATATTGATTGTATTTGAGCACTATTTTTGACAGAAATATTACTTTGTGAGATATTGCGAAATTGCTTGTCAGGATTGACGTATCCGGCTAGTTCATTCATCACAAGCTGACAGTTATACTGCTTCCAGGCTGGGACAACATCAGCAGATCCTATTGGACATTCCCTTTGTACTTTCAGCATCATCTCACAGACAAAGACTTCCTGGAGGTGATCCGAGTCAGTCGCTTCCAGTTCTGTCAACTACCAAAGTGGAAACAAAATCAGATCCTGAAGATGGCACATCTCACTTCCGGTCACACGACGTCAGTTCCCACTTCACTCTCAGACCAATTGTCTATACCGTGTCTTTCCCTACACTTGCAATCATGACGGGATGACTCAGTCTTCAGACCAGCATTTGACGGTGTTTACGTTAATAATGGTCTGGGATTCAATCCCATCACCAATAATTCAAAGGGACGACAACTATGTCACTGAAGTAATGAAAGTATGATTGTCATAATGAAAGACGAAAGTTGCATTTTGTAGGTATGTAACATGAAAACGATTCGGTGTTAATATTGACAAAGCAAGCTGTTTACACTGCTGTTTTGTATTCATTGTATTGTCAATGAAATAATTTCTCCTATACTGGGAACAGTGCTCTGAAACGACATTGACTATACATTTATATACTTATTGAACACTTGGTTAACAAGCAGAACGAAAATATTATTAAACATTGATGATCTTGTTTGTCAGTTTATGTAATCACTTATTTTCATGTATATATCTTGTCAGGATAAATATTAATCGAACATCGAAATAATTTTGCATTTAGTATGTTCTATACTACAATCATGTAAAGGTTTTTCACGAGGGGCAGTAATTGTAGCACTGCATAGGTTGCACTAACTTCTTCAAGTGGCATTTAGAAGCTGGTTTGATGAAGAGGAATATTTTCTTATTGATAGACAATTTCTTCATTGCAACAGATGTTTCGGTGTAGATCCTAACACCGTTATCAAGCAAATGATGCTTGCTATGATCTTCCCCGAAACGTCGCATCTATTGCAATCAAGAAGTTGACCATCCATAAAAGGTGTTCCTCTTAATTCATCAAATTTCTCACACATCATCTGTAGATATATAATTATATTCGTCCTCATAGTTTAACACTTCCTTTACATTGTATCTGGAAAGGTACTTGTAACATGTCTGATAACTTCGTACTGTTCGTGAGGACACACAAAACATATTCTCCTCTTCCAGCCATCACTTTTCGTTTATCGAAAACAACTAAGAAATCAAGATTTGAATCGGGCCCTTTAGGTGTTCATCCTTTTTTCAATTTATCAATTCAGTAAAAATACATTTAGAGATGCATGTATACATATACTGTAATATACTGTATTAGATATATTGTTCTGTATTAATGCCTTGTAAATAAATTCAGTCTCTTCATTATCAAGTGTAAGTCTTGTAAGTCTGCAAAGATATTGTGCATTGCTATTATTATTCAACATTTAACAGTGAGAACTGATTCAACATTGTTGACAATGTAACCATGGAATGGCGACAGTCAGCCTTTGCCCTATTTACTCTTACAACCGCGAAACCTTTCGTCAAGGATTAGGAAACTTTATCTGAACAAGTATAAGTTAACCATTATTACGTGGCCCCCAATGGAAAAGTCCCCATTTCAAAATGAAGCCTATGATTTATCTGTAAAGATCTCCGTTTCCATTATCCACGCAATAACATTCTTGACATTCATTTTCTGAGGCTTCTCAAAAATGGATATTTCAAGATAGCAAATTATGTCTAAGATTGCCGAGAACCCATCGCGGAAATGAAAATATTTGTCTGAAATAGCAGTGTGGATGAAATTCCATTCCTAGGGCACTTGTTGCCCACTTAGAAGCAAACAGAATGGCTCTTGGATATAGTCAGGTACTTACGAAGAATACCCAGTTAATTAGCATCCCTCAGCGGAGATGTCTAAAGTTGAAGGGTTATCCACAAATCCAACGTTAGACTTAATTTACATCCGGGTTCTTAAAATCAGCGTCAGAATGGGATATTTCTAGCTTATCCTAAAGAACCATGTTATCATCTCCCGAGCTGCACGCTTGCCTTGAGGGTTTATTGGCAGACTCGTTCAAAATTTCATTTGAAAGAAGAACATTTATTGCCAATTTATCTGATTCCCCCAGGCTTGGTAAACTCTTGATGTGTTCCCTCACGGAGCTGTATTTACGTTTTTCTCTTACGCCAGTGTAATGGTTTACTTAAATGAATGACTGGTGTTGTTTTACGTTTAAGAAATAATATAGCTCTATAAAGGCGGTTGGTATTGTAAATGAACAAATCTGCGTCAGAAAATAGGAACTTTGTGGCTAATAACATGTCCAAAGTTTAATATTTATGCGCAGCCTCATCACCATTGGGGCCGGTGGGGTAGCCTAATGGTTAAAGCGTTGGCTCGTCACGCCGAAGGCCCGGGTTCGAATCCCCACATGGGCACAATGTGTGAAGCCCATTTCTGATTTCCCCCGCCGTGATTTTGCTGGAATATTGCTAAAAGCGGCGTAAAACCAAACTCAGTCAGTCAGTCAGTCATCACCATTGTGTACCAAACACATGAATACGTAAATTTCCCCTGGAATATACCAGGCGACCTCCCACTCACACGCACCCACTGTATATAACTCACCCGGGTTAGAATTGGTCTTCAGCGACCCATGCTTGTCGTAAAAGGCAACTAACGGGATCGGGTGGTTAGGCTCGCTGACATGGTTGACACATGGTATCGCATCCCAATTGTGTAGATCGATGCTCATGCTGTTCATTGCTGGATTGTCTGGTCCAGACACAATTATTTACAGACCGCCGCTATATAGCTGGAATGTTGCTGAGTGTGGCGTTAAATAGCCAGCCAACCAACACTATATACAACTCTATATATTTTACACGTAACCAAAGAATTTTCTATTTGTAACTGATTGCAACTCTATATATTGTACTTCTCCTTTCTACGACGTGTGATTGCAAACACTTACAGACACATTGTGGAACTATCCCTGCTTTGGCTTGATGCCAACTGTGTGCCGTAAAGAAATTAAACAGAAAAATGGACACTAACGACGAGAAGATATCACCTCGAAGTCATTTAATGGCACCCAAACAAAATTCGAAGACTTAATCTCGTCTTACTGATTAGACTTTGCCCTGTTTAATGTCCTTTACCAATCCGAACTAAAATATACTGTGAGCGATAGCGATCTGTTATTTATTTAGTGAAGTAAAGGGGTTTTTTCCGCCGGGGATGGAAAGATTGGAGGTTTCCTTCGCCTCATTCCAGCATACGTTTTGGTTTTGCTTCTTGAACTTGGTTGTTCTTTATCCTCTACGGTCTCCCAATAGACTCATTCAATAAAATATTGACATTGAGCCGTAGACTCCTCTTTGAAAGTCCTAGACATCTAGGATATGGTCTCAACCTGATACTATCTTGGTGCCTACAAATTGGTTACAGACAATCCAGACTGAATTCATCTGAACTATTCTGGAAACTAAATCAAAACACAACCGTTATACAAGGACAAAGTGCCAATGCGAGCATTGTCGACTGGGACTAGCTCCTCTTCGAACAAACAAGGAAAGATCGATATCACTGTTCCATATTCCCGGAACGTTCCATACACAAGATATAAATAATAAACACAATAATCACAATGAACGGAATATATGGCCAGAAATCAGAAGGACAGCAATGAACTGCGTTTCCAGCTCGAACTGAAATGAGATGAGTGGTGTTCCAGCTCAACCTCAAGGCGTTTCTACGAGCTGCACATCCTGTTCGCGGTCGTCCCTGTACACGCAGAGTAAATACCTCACTTATAAACAGTAAAAATGTATATAGAGAAGCATACAACTCAACATCAATATACTATCACAAAAACTATGGTATATTCCATTTTGCCCTGATATTACTTGGGAAAATGAATATCCCAGGGTGTTATTTCGTGCAAGTGTTTTCCATGATATGCTCGTGAACATGGTCGAAGTAAAATTCAGAATTTGCAGTGAATCGTGTCAGTGTGCTGCTGTACACTTCAGTGATGAAAACCAGACTGAAAGTTGTCCTGGTTTTGTTTTCAACTTAATTAAACGTGTTTTGACCACTTTTATGTCCGGAACGGCTTCGTGCAATTGGCATGTTTGTAGCTGGAACAAGACAGAGCATTGTGGTACGAGCTCTTCACTTTTCACAATCAGTAATTAGCAGGTTACTATCACGATATCAACAGACAAAAAAACTGGTCGACCAAGAGCGACGACGAAGAGCGACAACTGGCGCCCAAGAACGTTTCATCAGAACGACATGTGATACGAAACCGTGACCAACACCGTATCAAATTGGAGATGAGCTTCATAGAGTCACATGTGTTAGAGTAAAAACAGGCGATTTGTAATCGGTTAGACAGATGGAACCTGCATGCCCGACGTCCACGTGTTATATACCACGATTGTCGTTGGTGTCAAGAGCATGAGCGCCGGCCCAATTGTCGATGAGCAAACGTTAAGTTTTCCAATAAATCAAGCTTTACTTTCGACTTCCTTGGCATAGTGAGACGTAGACGGAATGAAGGCTTCATGCCGTTAACGTTAGACAGAACAATTGATTTGGGGTCGGTCACCAATAGTATGGGGGTATCACTGTGACTGACAGAACATCTTTACGTCTCATTCAGGCAAATATCAGGCAGAATAGTTGTGACATATTTGATTGAATATCCCCTACTTTCTTTGAATAGTATATATGGGAATGGACAGCAATGGGGAGATGACGACACAATGACCTGGACTTTGAACTTATGGGCATATTTACAGCCACAACCCGGGGATATTCCATTAAGGCTATATATGTCATGAATCAACAAGTCAATTAATGAACAGTGTCAGAGTTGCCACTGTTGGTTGACAAGGCTATATACTATAAAATAGTGATGGGGATTAGCGTCATATAGACAATGACAATTAAGTGGTTGAGACATGTACATTTCAAGCTACATTAGCTTATGGAATTAAGTGCACATTCGTACAATGGTTGCCCTGAACCAGTCGCTCTGACTACACAGTGTAGAAGTAAAATGTAAATACCCGTCGCCCGATCTTGTAACCAGGGAGATGCTATTATATAACCGGAAATTAATACGTATTGGAGGCAATGATGGCCACTAAGAGGTTTAATTGGTGAGATCCAAGCCTCACATTAGAGGAATTACGTAATATTGAATCTGTTGGTGTGGATATTGCGTGATATCGTGTATAGCTACCAAACCATGGTTCATTTAGGCCAACTTTTTCGTTGTGACAGGTCAATAAAATAAGCAAGGGTTTGTGACCTTGTAAAATGGACAAACAAGTTGCTTCAAAAAAAGAGAGGAGAAAGCAAACCGTTCATATGTTTTAAGTTGGAACAAAGGTCTCGACGTATAACTTTAAGAACGCATCTGCCGTGACCCTTCCTTTCGCAAAGAAAGTTTTCCATTTGTCGCGAAGCTTTTTCGATCTTGTAAAAGGTAACTCTAAATTTAAGGATTCAATTATCTCTGCAGCTACTGAATTTTACCGCGAAGTTTTTGCGCTTGTTAGTGTCTTATTACTTAGGGAAACTAATACATTTGGACATCTGAAGATGAATAAACACTGCTGGATTTCAGAATTATATATATAGTTGGACTAATATTTAAGCTTAACGTGAATTTAACTCAGTAACTAAACACCGCTGAAAGAACGTCAAATGACTCATGTTGTCATTAACGGGACGCGATCGATGAGGTCCAGACACAGAAAGGAACAAAAAACGTCCTGTAAGAATGTCAAAGGGTTCTGAAATGGACAAGGAGTACCCTAATACAAAGATCGAATATTGCCGCAGTCCATTATCTCGCAAATAGCATCGTCAAACCGTTAATCTTGTTACGGGATCATTGATGCTATCTACTGAATAATGTGCAGCTTCTCTCCATGTAAGTTTGCCCACAGGTAAAAGTGTTGGTGCTGCCGCAACGGAAATGGCGGATGTCAGCCCAGTTTAATATCCTCTCGACAGAAGAGAAGTCATTCAGAAGACTGGGGTGGCAATGTTCCTGAGGAGACATCATTCCCAGTCGTGAACAGAGGTTTGACGACTAAACGCCATGCTTCAACTTGAAGCGGCCACTTACATCACACTTCGGGTGGATATGAATAAGTTAACATGACAAGTATTACATCTAAATTTATCACAGAACCCTGTTTACATGAGAAGAGCTCCACAGCAGTATGCGTCACGTCTGGTGCCATTTCATTCATACAGGTTCTGTGTATGGGAGTACAGTTTCTGAGGCAGTGCGCACTTTGGACAGACAACATGAACATATATTTAGACAAGATGTTATAACATTTAGGTTCGACTG